TTTCGACCCTCCGTATCGTTCTTTCATTGCGTCGAATCCAGAAGTAAAAGTTGTCTTTAATGCTATTTTATCAAATAATGGTCGAAGTAACTCATCGAGATATTTTGATATTTTAATAGTTGGATGTTTAAGACCAGAAACAATTGGACGAAGTGGCGTACCAGGTTTATTAGTTTTAGGTAAATAATATAGATGAGCTAATTTTGCTTCAGTTGGTTTTACACATAAAATTTCGTATTGTTTTTGAGTGATCCAATGAGCTAATCGTAAATCTAATAGATATTTATTTGTACGTTCAATTAAATTCGGTAATGGATCATTTTCACCTAAACATTCATATGCTTTGGTTTTCTCCATATATTCATTAGATTTCTTTTCATAATGTTGACGTGTACCTAAATGAAATACTTTAGATTTATCTGTTTTTTGAAGAATTAAATTGGCTGAACGAATCTTATGTTTCAAACGTTTGACTAATCTACCATAATTCTTCTTCTTTTTATTATTTGTAGATGAAGAATTAATATCTTGAGATTGATTTGATTGAATAGTTGCTAATAAATTATCATATAAGATTATTTTATGCTGTTGTTTATTTTATCGAGGTGTATTATTATTAATAGATGTATTATGTAAATTTTGTAATATAATATTTAATTCAGCAATGAATTGTACGACCGATCGACGGGGGCTCACTTGTTTTTCGAAGAATCGAGCTTCAATTTTTCGTTTAAGAGTAGCCAACTCAGTTGTACGTCGTCGAGATGCTGTTTTAGGATCATTATAAATAAACTGAGGACCTGATTTTAAAAGTTGATATTCTTCCTCGGTTAATTTTGTTTTGGTTTCGTTAATTATAGTTGGAGCGAGAAATCCTCGCCCAACGATCGAGTGAGAATTGGAGCAATTGTTTCGGGGTGGGTGTGGGTGTGAGTGTGGGTGTGGGTGTGGGTGTGGGTGTGGGTGTGGATGTGGGTGTAGGTATGTGTGAGGAAAACACTAACACTAACACTCACTCTCACACCCAACCACACCCACGCCCACACCCACACCCACACCCACACCCACCAGTTAGATGTGCTGGTCAAATCAACTATGAAGAAGTGGAAGTAGCATACAAAAAAAATGAAGCTATTCGTCAAACAATATCTATTTTTGCTATTATTATTATTTTAGCATTGAAAATATATCTGTAGCTTGAAAAACAAATCCAATCGTATTCATATTACAATTATTTAACATTCTTCTATACAGATAAAAACTATTGCAATTGGAGTATTAATTATATAATAAAATAAAGTCTAATATAAAAGAATAATAGCATATCTTATTGCTATAGCTAAACTTAAGGTTATATTTTCAAAAAAGAATTGTATGGTAATATATAAATACTAGAATATGTGTGTCGAAGTCTTTATTGGAGTATCTGAATTTAGTCGAAAATAAAAATTAGAATGGAACAACTTTTTCATCTGTATCACTATTCAGAACTTTATTTTTATGTTAGAAATAGAAAAATCATTGTTTATTCAGCAAATGTTTCAGACAGCTAAATTCTAAAAATGAACATTAGTTTTTACTAAATCATTTAGCATAATCTATTAGTTGCAATCATTGGTAAAAAATCATTAGAACATCAAATGATTATCTATAACACACATCAAACTGATTTGCAACATAGGATCAAATTACAGATACACTTAGAAGAAAAATCGTTATTTTGACAGAGATCATGCTCAAAAATATGTTCTACTAGTACTACAAAATAAATCAATTAACTATTTTACCGGCGATTTTTTGAAAAATACTGGAGAAAATCAGTTGATATTGAGACAAACAGAAAATTAAAGAAAAACATTTTTATAAATGTTAGCGTCTGTAGATGGTGCTTACTGACGCTAAACGTTTATTTTATGTTATCTATTTTTTGAATCTCTGATTTGATTTGTTACGTAATCTCTCAACTATGATTCATCTCGTGATTATCTTTTTGTCTTTCGTTATTGCGCAGTTGTTGATGTTCTATCGTATCGATCACTCGATACTCAATATATTCTATATATGACACGACGACAAAGTCGATTATTAAAACATGTTTAGCTCTCTAATTTTGGCAGACTAAATATTAGTTCTACCATTGCTACATAATCCCCAAAACGAGAGCTAACAATAAAAGAGTGTAGGTGTGCGTATGAGTACGAGCATAAGGTAGCTTTACATTCATACCGCGCACTCCACACTCATACCCGCGTAATTTATTAACATAATTGGATCCGGTCGGAATTCAATCGGATTGTCTAAAATTTTAATAAAACCAACGGAATCCTATCGAATTCCGGAAGACGGAATGACTTTCATATCCCTACTGTTCGATGTTACCGAATCCTAGTGTAAGATTTTGTTGAAATCTTACTCAGATCTGTTTGCATTTTTATCTTCCGAAATCCGACAGAAACCTATCAGAAATGAAAATTTTACAGAATCCGATAATATCCGATACCGAGATAGAACCAGCTGAACGTAGAACAGCTGAATAGAACGAAAGAAAAAAAGAGAAGCGCTTGATTCTCTATTCGGTTCAATTTTTATACTGACTATTCAATATAATCAACTGATAAAATTATTTTATTTATTGATTTTAAAACTTATATATCTACAAATCGAATCATTTTTATAACTGATCATTAATTGATTCTACCGATTTTATAATTATTTCATATACTGATCATTTCAATTGTTTTACTTATCACAAATTATATTCTATTTTAAAATTATATCAGAACTTCTGAAATATTCTTTATATTATTATCGTTGTTATCCTCATCTTGTTATATGATTTATGTATTTGTTTAATAAAACACTAAGTGATTATATTTCGGTGAGCATTATTTCGATACGATACAACACAATTGAGACAGGTAGTTTTATGGTAAACCCTCTTCTTTTGAACAAAGTCAAGTTTTGAAGTGTTATTATTGAACCTATGTATATTACGAAGGATTAGGTCTAAATAACATCTATTTGAGAGTCTCACACTCATTCTTTCTTTTTCTTATTATATATGTGCGCAATCGAAGTTATTGATGTTTTGATTAATGTATAATCTAATATGTGTATACATCATTTCGTTTTTAAAAATATTAGGAAAGTATTCTGTATACAAAAGAAGTCATGATTCAATCAATCATTAATATATTTGAAATGGCATATTACTTCGAACAGGTGTACATTCTCTCTATTTTCAGCTTTGATCTATTACTCATT